TCACCACAACCGCGCCCTGGTCTGAAACCAGCTTGATTATGGCGCATCCTGCTGTTCCGTACTTTCATAAGTCTGTTGAGTAGCAGGGATGCAAAAATTTTTGCTGAGACGTCTAATAGGCTGATTCCTCGATAATTGTATCAATATGTCCTATCACCTTTCTTGAGAATTGGGAGCAGAATTGCTTTGCTCCAATCATCTGGTAATATTTCTTTTTTCCATACTAAAGAGTACATTTGTAGAAGGTGTATTATGAAGGACGATGAGCAGCATTTGAAAAGCTCAGCCCGAAGACCATCTTATCCCGGAGTCTTGTTGACTTTAAGCTTATGGATAACTGAAATTATTTCTTCTTCTGTTGGAAGCTCGCAATTGCAAGCATATGCTTCGGCAAACGTATCAGTTATATCAGGGGCAATAGATGGAGCTTCATGGTCAAGTTTGGCCTCAAAGAATTCTTGTTGATTGTTAATATAGTCAGAGATCTTTTCTTGGCAGTAGAAATACAAATGGATCGCCATACCATATGGATTTTTCAATGAATCAAATTCTCTAAACACAATAATCTTGCCATTAAAGAACTAGGCTGACTTCACTGGTTCACAGAGTAAAGCGTTTTCAGGCCTCTCGAACTGTTGTCACGTATATTTTCATATTTTTGCTACTTTACCTTGATATGCAATTTCATTTTTTTTTTTTAATTCCTTATATATACCTTTGTTGCATGGTTTGAATTTTTACTGAACATTTCTGTAATGAGTTCGCTGATAACGAGGTATTTTGTACTATTTTATATTGTTTACATGTGATAAGGATATATTGAAAAAATTGCTAAATATTTTCATTGTGAATTATGATACTGGAGAAATGTTTATCAAATTCACTTTCCATTTAAACTAACAATTTAGCAGACATGCAAAACTAGTAATTAATTAATCAGCGATTGACTGCAAATCTTGTTATGGCCGCATCAAATCATCATTATAACGATAAATGGAGATATTAATGCTAGTGACTTTAGTTGAAAAGAACTCGTTTAATTGTTCCACTTGACTTCATGCACTTCACGTTTTTTTGGATTTTATCCGAAATTTGTTACTTCTTCCAGTTAGTTATATTTCATCAGATTTAATCACTTCACTGTCCTTTACTTTCTATTTCCTTGCTTTGTCTCATTCTGGAGTCGTACTTTCTTGATTTTTTATTGTTTAGGATTCCAAATTGTTTATATTTTGCTGTTGAATGCTTATCAAAGTTGCTATTTATATATATGAATATGATTTTGTTCTCTGATTATGTTTTACTGATTTTCTTTTGCTAGCAAAATCGATTCAGAATTCGATTCGCATTATTTGCATACTTGGCTTTTTTATAATTTCCCGTAGATTTATTTCAACAGAATTACTCGAGAAATGCTTTATCCAGCTTTTAATCGTTCTTTTAACTCCTATTACTAGGAGTTTATTATCTGAATTATTTACTACCATTTGCTTATTTTATTTCCGGTAAAAGGGATCCCATCTCTTGTTGGGAATTTTTAACGTTGGCAAAAGAATTATTTATCGATATTCTAAAATACTAACGGTAAATTGCAAAATAATAAAAATTTGTGAGAAAATTTGCAGCGATTTATCGTTGTTAGCTTATTAATCTAATATTCCTGAAGAACAAGATTTGTACAATTTTCGTGCTTATTGTAAAAAAAAAGGTCTAATGCTTCGATTGTGGTCAGGTATCATGGATTTCCTTGGTCTTTTATGGAAATAAATCTTGTAAATTTAAAATGAAATCCATTTGGAACTCATTTGCACGTCTATAGCTTACTGACTATGTAAGCGAAGCGTTCCCACCCTAACAGTCATTGATGCTTGCCAAGCCAAAAATAATAAGTTTATTTTTTTTTCTAAAATCAGCAAATTCGGAATTTTTTTCATAAAATTTAGCTATCTTCAGCTTTAATTTTTCGCCTCTGATTGCTCATAATGTAAAAAATTTAGAAAGGAATCAGTTCTTGTCAAAGCTTAAATGACTGGAACTGAAAAAAAACCGGTCAATGAACAAAAGCTGAAAGTGGATACGAAGGGTCTATAGAAACTGCGATTATCTTTATTCACGGAATTCTTTCGAATTCGCTAATCTCAAAATTATTTTTCCCATGTTTTTAATTCTATTTGATAAAAGATTCATAAAGATTTATTTATTGTCAAATTTACTATCGCTGACAGCTGTTAAATGATAAGATTTTTTCTCGACTTTTTATTTCACTTTTTCGAATATTTTTTGTGGTGAAATTCCACCCTTTCATACTCGAACATATTTATTTATTTTTTCTTATTTCCTATCCCGTTATCATATTTTAATTTAAAACTTCATAATTCTTGTGTCTAAATTGTAATACAGTCTATTCTATAATTTTTAATTACTTATTTAAAATATTTACTGATTTATCTGGGGTTTCAGGCGTTTTTGATATTTATGATATTTAAGCAAATACTTTTCAAACAGTACGCACCATTTCTCATTTGGCTAACTCCACCGGTTAGTATATGAGACGCGAGAGCCATGGGGAAAGAAAACAGATGGCTCCACAGACTACCAGAATTTCATTTTCAATTTTTTCCCGGGATAAGGAATGGATTTATGATATATCTTTATCTTAATCGAAGCAATATGCCATCGTGGTTTTTAAGGGCAACTGCTATTAATTTTGTGATTTAATTAATGATTTAATTTATATTTAATCTGTATTTAATTTATTTCCGTATGATTTTCATCGATTAATTATTTTTCTTATCAGAATTTCAATGGTTTTTAAAATTATTTCTATCTTCGTTTTACTGAATAATTAACTTGCATCTAACATATCTTCAATTTCATTTATGGCAGCCTTATAAGTGGCCAAAAATTGGTAGAATATTCAGAGCTTGTCATATCACATCACTCGTAATAAATCCGCTACTTTCAATTACTTTCTTCATCTTTGTTTATTAGATGGTCAGAAATTCTGCCATTGTAAAAAATCTAAATGTATTTTTATTTCCAGCGAATTTTTAAGAGAATCTAAAGAAAATAAACTGGTATCATAATTTGAAAAGATGATTTAATTTCTCAACTTTTGTCACTTTCAAGCCTTATAATTATCTAAGGGCAGATGATGACGGAGATAGTGGTTACAAGGGGCACTCAGATAATAGTTTTGCCAGTCTCTGGGTCTTCAGCACCACTTGGACATATTTTAACTGGAATTCACTAGGTAATTCAGTGCGAGTGCGTTATCATCCAATTATAATCATGCAAAAATATTTAGCAATATTTGTCAAAACCGTTTATTCATTCATTAGATAGAATGTATATAATTTTTCGTCTTTTGCAGTTTTATGTATTTTTACGATGAATCGAGCTCGTAACTTCATAATTTAATGATCGATTGGTCGATTAAATTTCTAATATTCCTAGAGGATTTTATTTAATAATTCATGATTCGCTTTATTCAGTGTTATGAATATTTTTTTGCTTTCATTAATTCCTTTAAGCCTACGACTTTTGTCGATTCTTGCACTTGTTAGTAAAAATTTATATCATAAAAAGTATAACCATGTCTAGTTAGGTGAGTTTTGCTGGTTAAGTATGAGAAAATTTTGCTAGGAAACCAGATTTTCTGTGATAGGCTTATTCTTGTTGGCAATGAGGGAACTGGAAGAGCCGAACCCTTATCTATCAACACCGTAATCTCCACCACCCACTCAACTATCCCAGCTCGGCGATTTATTACAAGTAAGTTGGAATGACTGAACGACTGCCAATGAAGGCCATCTTTCCACGAAAAATAAGTTTTTTTAAAAATATTTTGTTATCCTTCTCATTGTTAAGCAGTCAAGAAGAAATTTATATTCCTGAACAGTTCTTGCACAGTTTCTTTCGTTTTAACCATTACTAATTGCCATCTAGGCTTTTGATCGATAAATAATTGTGGTGACCTATCTTTTTTCAAATGTTGAAATCGAGATGGCACCCTAGTCTATATTCAGGATAACTTCTTTCGTATGAAATCGTTGCGTTGTTCTATTCTTTCTTAAAAGTTCAAAGAGAATAAAGCCATTAGTATTTGAAATTTGTATGATTTGTATTTTCTTAAGACAGCAATATAATTCTTGTCGAATACGGTCATTAATTTGTTTATAAGATAGGCTACAATCAAGAAAATTTACCATCCTGAAATCCAACAGTTCTCCTCCGTAATACTTTTGACTTTCTGAAAGCAATCAAAATGATATTTAAAATATGGTTGTTGACGCGAAAAAAACGCCAAATTTTCATTACACAAGTTGATTAATTATACTATTAATCAAATGAATATTATACAAAATTTATAAAATTTTTTAATAAATGTTATCATCAACTTCTCCTTCTTTTTATGAACATTCACCATTTCTGATTTGGCTAACGCCAATGACTGCGTGGACGAAAGCCTTTCGCCATAGAGTCACTTAAAAATAGAAATGCAAGTGGGCCCCAGCATTCTCTGGAATTCACTTTATATAATCTTTATATAACATAACTTTGGTCAAATGGCAATGATCGAACACATGACGCTTGAATTCATCATATAACATAACATACTACTTAGTCTTTCTACCTTCTTATTTTTCCCCATTTTCCCCAAAATTATCATACCCCATTTGTGGTAGCATTGACATAAAAAAAAGCTACTAAATTATAATTCATTTAATGACGAAATTTGCTCTTATTTTCAATTTAGGAGACCGGTAACTTTCGAAGCTGACGATAATTTTAAACTACCAATGACTGCAACAACCGATGCAATATTACCATGCGAGAAAGGAGATGTGGAGAAACCGATTATGATTGATGATTTTGTAGTGTTATTTTTAAATATTTCGCAGTAAATAATAGAAATAAAACTTATTGCTTTTCATAGCCCGAAATTTTATTGCTTTTATCTTTTTTATCCAGAATTAACGTTTTTGTGATTTTAGCCTATGAGAGAACAACGATTAAGTTTTATTAGCACATCAACTGGTTACAGCTCGACGAGGAGCAGTCTCAGGAGCTCTGATATAGGCGATGATTATCATTTATCTCATGAAGTTGTAACCTCAAAAAAATTATTATCGTTTGTCTCTCATTATATTAATTTATTAACTGAACATCTATAAATAAGTTTTTTAAGTTTTTTGACAGAAATTTTGACCTAGATTCCTTAATTGTTATTGCTATTTTTACTGAACATCAGTGCTGCGGTGCATTTTTGTAGATGTTTCTTATAGTCGTGAATCGTCATTATCTGAAGCACGTCGACTCAAAATTCTGAAATTTTCGAATTGCAATATATCGCAGTTGGATCGAATCGCTATGGAATTACTGGAGACAGAACGTTGTTATGTGAATGATCTCAATGATGTTATTCAAGTAATTTTTGACTGCTATTTTATACCCAAAAAATTAGTTGATTAGAATTGATTTTTGATTGTGGTGATACATTAATGAATAATGTAGTCTCATAAGAATAGCGAGGATGTTAAATTTGAATATATTTTACTAAAATTCGAGAACAAATCGGTGTCGGAACGTTTCTGCAAAACACTTTAAGAAGCTTTAAGAAAGTAAGGTATTTATACCTTTTGAAGTGGCAGCTTCCTGTGCATTTGATGGGTTAAATTAAGTACAGTGTTATTTTCCACAATGTCTGTCTATTATATATGCAGGGCTATCTCAATTTTTTCGTTAACCATCGTGATGAATTCCGAATGACAATTGACGATGTTTCGAGTACTTTCGGCTGTATAGAGCGTATTTTTCTTTTCAACAAATGTTTCTACCATCAACTTGATGCTGCACTATTGAATGTTGTCCAGGTTTTTTAATTCTTGACGCTTTAAAAGATGGCTAATAACTGAGAAGTTGCTGCTTTTTTATACCTTCTATTTTGACTTTAATCACTTTTTCTTTGGCATTTCTAACAAGCCATTTGAACTCTGAAGCTGAAATTCTTTGAATTCCTCTATGTGCTTATCAGCTAAAGCGTTATCTTATTATCATCTTCACCGATATGCTAGATTACGCAAACAATAAAATTATCTCAGATGGCTAAATGTTTCATCGATAACGCGAGTGGTTTCAAAGACTATGTAACTTATTGCACGAACTATCAAAGGTATGTCTTTACAGGCATTCTTTATGCATTTAAGATTTTATAGCTGCTGCCTTTTGTATGGACATCATATTTCCGCTTTTCTTGCTCCCCACTTTTATTTTTGCTAATGAAATGTATGAGTTGGGAGTTTACTCTTTTGAGAAGCATATTAATACGGCTGGATTTAAAATTTAAAATTTAAAATTTTGTTGTGCCGATTATACCAATTAAATTAAAGTATAGATTATACCAATTAAAATGTTTAATTTTTTTGCTTTTTTTTTCAAGCTGAAGTGTAAAGGAGAATATATAAAGATTTAGCCAGGTTTTTTTTTTGTTTTTAGTTTTTAAAATTGATTGATTAATTTCATATCAATTTGTTTGAAGGATGATTGAGACTTTGACGGAATTCATGAAAAACGGTGCAATCACTGAGACTCTGGCATTGAGGCAGTCAGTTCTTGGGCATTCACTTCCACTAAGCGCTTATCTTCTAAAACCGGTTCAACGAATTCTCAAATATCATCTTTTCATGGAAAATATTCTTAAGCACTCGGTTGACAATAAAAATATATCAGATGCAGATATAGCAGTTATTCGTCAAGCAATGGATCAAATGACAGCACAAGCAGAAAAAATTAATGAAGAGAAAAAAAGAGTTGAACATTATGAGCGAGTTCGTGAATTACAAAATGTTCTTCAACGATGGGGTCTTGATGAAAAGCAAGACTTGTCAAAATACGGAGATTTACTTCTTGAAGGTCTTTTTAAAATAGCTGGCTCAAAAACCAATCGTCTATTATTCCTTTTTGAAGAAATGCTTTTAATCGTCAAAGAGCGCAGTGGTGTTTTGATTTGCAAAGATTATATTATGGTGAGCTTTTCTTCTCATTTCTTTGGACCATCGTTTAATGCGAATAATTTTGTCCGGGGGGTCATATATGTCCTTATTATTAATATAGTCTAATCTTCTATCATCCTGCTCAATGATTATTGCTGCCTTGACTCAGGAAAATCCGACGGAACTTTATGCCGTACTATAGATTAATATAATTTCAAATAATTAAAGATTAATTATTCAAGTCTACAGGCGGCTACTAAATTTTGGTGAAATGATCTGAAAAGGTGGCAATAATTTAGATTTTTTTTCAGTGCTCAAATTTAATGCTAAATGAATCGATCAGCTCTGATCCTCTAGCATTCCAAGTGTTATCATTTGACAATCCAAAAATTCATTATATTTTTCTTGTAAGTTTCCATCAATCATATATTAATGTTCGAAATATTCAACTTCTTCACATAGAAACATTTGTGGATAATTTTAAAAAAAAATTAAAAGTGAATTGCAAGGAGTGATTTTCATCTCTGCTATGTTACTGAACTATACCTGTGATTATATTAGAATATCACTTTAAGGCTTGTAATCCGGAGCAGAAAAGGCGTTGGATGAAAGAACTGAAGCGAATGATGTTGGATCATTATACAGTCGAAATTCCTGAACGAGCTAAATTGTTGGTGCTTAGTGTTGATAATGGTCCTAAACAATACAATAGTCCAGAAGAATCAGGTTCGTATATTTTCTGCGAATGGCATATTTCCGAATTTCAAAAATGAGGAAGAATAAGCGAAAATGGGGTGCATAAATTTACATAAATTTTTTAATGATATTTCATATTAAAAAAAAATCTGCAGTCAAGTGAAAAATTCATTATGAACAACCAGTTTTTTTTGTTTTTGATAACTCTGGCCATATAAATAATGGATCTGAATTCATGAAATCTATTATTTAAGGGTTTTTAGGAAACATTAATTTATTATTTAATTATTTCATTATTTAAGTTTTTTCAGGAAGCGATATTAATTTCAAAAACAGGAAGAAAATTCCAAAATATTTAGAGAAGCGTCGCAAAAGTATCGAAGCAAGTTCAATAACAAAACGATCAAATTGGTCTTCCACTGACCTCAAAAATTCGAATAATAAACTTTTGAGAGCGGTGAAATTTTTAATAAAACTTATTGGCATGAAATTTCATTCAAGCATTTTTGTTCAATAAGCTGACTATGGACAACAAATTGATTTAGTAATGGATGAAAATAATTCAGAAAATGAACCTGTTTAATGAAGATGAAAATGAAAATCAATTAGGAATATAATTAAAGTGCACAAAGTTTTTTTGCACTTTTTTTAGTCTTCCGTTGGTAATTTGGTGGCGAAAGTTGGTGCAAGTATGGTTTATCAACAAAAAAAGGCTGATTTGGTCAGATGTACATGCAATGATGAAAATGTTTTACATGTGCGTCTTGTTTTTTTAGATATCTTGTTAATTTTGTATTTTTTAATTCTTCAAAATTTTGTTTTTTTGAAATATTTGAAATGTTTATAAAAGAAATCTTTTTTTCATCCCCTGTAGGTGGCGAGAATCATCCTCAATCTCCGGTGTTTTACGTTCCTGGAATCTATTGGAACCACTTTTCTGGTTTAGGGAATCTTAGTATTGTAATTATCAATGGGATTATTTTGGCCTTTACTTTCCACATTTCTAGTTTCTCATTCTCTTCTTTTCTTCTTCTAACAGCTCTCACCATTACTGGTTAGGCTGGCTCCAACGTCTACAAGGATAAGACGCTTCCAAACGGTGCGGTCTGATGCCATAGTATGTCGATAGTAATAGAAGCCATTCCTTTTTCCATCGTCTAAGTCCATATATTGCTGGCCCTCCCGTTCAAAATCTTTCTTGACCGTATCAGTCCAGGTCTTGATTGGCCCACCTCGCTTTTGGTGCCAACCATCACACGGAAAATAACGAAATATGCGCCAACTATCAACCTGTGGTGGACGACGAAGAATGTGCTCTAACCACCGAAGGCGTCGCTTTGTGACAATATTAATTATTAATGCGAGTGGTATTTGAGCGAAGATGGATACAATCATGTGCGATTTTATCCGCTCGACGGATCTGTAAAATGTACCTTAGCCAAGAGTGGTCAAAGGCAGATAACTTCTTAATATCTTTCACTCTCATTGGCCATGTCTCAGTGGATCGAAGGTATTTAAAATCAGGCAGGGCACTTCCTCGATCGGCAATGAATTTACAAAAAGAGGCATTTTATCAGCTTCTTGTACATTAGACGAAAAGACTTCATTAACCCTGAGTCCTATTTTTGCTGCTGTTTCTAACACGTTATTTAGCATTACTTGCATTTTGTCATAGCTATCAGCAAAAAGGACTACATCATCAGCGTATTCAAGATGATACGATGCGATACGATGCTCTGGACTAATCCGGACACCTCTTGCCGAAAAGCAGTGTCCATTATCCAGTCTATTGCATAGTTGAATATTGTGGGGGAAAGGACGCAGCCCTGATACCTGTTCTTATTTCGAAGAAATCTGTCAGCTCCCCATATACACAGACCTGCGCCGACGTGCGCTCATAAAATGCCTTTATGAGTCGAATGATCTTCTCTGGAACACCGTCACATTCCATCACCCTTCAAAGCGCTCTATCAATTGAATCAAAGGCAGCCGCAAAGTCGATGAAACACGTGATAGTGGGTTACAAATATCTAAAGCATTGTTCCAACACCATTCTTAACGTGAATGTCTGGTCAGTACAACCGCGCCCTGGTCTGAATCCAGCTTTATTAGGGCGCATCCTGCTGTTTCGTACTTCCATAAGTCTGTTGAATAAAAGGGAAGCAAAAATTTTCGGTGAGATATCTAGTAGGCTGATTCCTCGATAATTTTCGCCTTATGTCCCATTATCTTTCTTGAGAATTGGTTTGCTCCAATCATCTGGTAATATCTCTTTTTCTCATATCAGAGAGTACATTTGTTGAAGGTGTATTATGAAGGACGATGGACAACATTTAAAGAGTTCAGCCCGAAGACCATCTTATCCCGGAGTCTTGTTAACTTTAAGCTTATGGATAACGGAAATTATTTCTTCTTCTGTCGGGGATCGCAGTTGCAAGCAGCGAACATATCAGTTATATCAGGGGCAACAGATGGCGCTTCATGGTTAAGTGGCCTCAAAGAATTCCTTCCATCTTATGAGGCGATCCTTAATATTCCTGACTGGCATGCCATTGCTGTCTCTTACCATTTTACTGATCGTTCCCCGAGTCATAATTGCTTTATGAAGAAGGCAGAATAGTTTCCCCATCTGGTAGTCAGGATCGTGCTTTGGCAAGTTTTTCAGACAGTTGTTGCTTCCGATACCCAACTAGCACGCCTCCTACTAGTGTGCCCTAGCGTGGGAGTGGCTAACTTTCGGAAACATTCCTTTAGTTTGGACCAGTATTCATTTGCCGTTCCAGAAAAGTCATTGATATTTGTATCACTGAGATGCCCCAATAATTCAGTTTGAAATGCGCTCACTGTCCACGAATTTTTTAGTTTGAAATAGTTTAAGGATCTTGGGGGATGCTGTTTTCTGCGAGTTGTCAGTTTTATGCGGATCTTGGCTCGAACCGTAACAGTTCCTTTTTCAGTTACTATTTATCTTTCCTTCTTAACCTTCTTTCCTAACGTTCCTATAACTTGGTATTGCTATATTTATCACCAATGCAATGCTGATTTCTATTCTTGACTACTTTCACGATGTCTGGTTGATTGGCCAAAACTTATCTGATTCCCATTCTTCCATCTGGTCTTGGGAGGTACTAAGCCCTATACTGAACAGATATTCCTGTTAACAATGCCATCTCTTTTTTAAATACTTGCCACTAGATGTTGGATAGTTTCTGAGTCTTATTTGTTGCGGTAGATCTTTGCTTCGATAAATTTGGTGATTAGCTCATGTGCTGCTATGTTCAATGCCTTAATGCCTTCTAGTGCAGTCCTTTTTCCAGTGACTGGTAGGGTTTCCCAGTACCAGCTACCACAGCTATCTGTCGATGTCCATCCTTTGGTTCCATCTTGCTGATATATTTGAATTTCGTTCAAGACATAATAGTTTGGGTGTAGGTCTTGGGTTAGAAATTTCCATGCATTGTGAAGAGTTCTGGCATCAGTCTTTATGTTAGTTGGGCAGGACGTATATGTTTTGTTCTTCCCATTGAACTGTTAGCAGGACTTTGATTTATCTTATTATTTGGTGGTACTTAGCTATGGTATCCTCGTTATGATTGCCATGATTGGCTGGGATTGGAATCAAAATGATATTATTGTCATTTTACCCTCGCCACTCGCTTTACCTTAAGCACTTTACTTTTGGGGCGCCAGATTTATATTTATTAATATTCGAATAAAAAGAAAAATAAGAATATAATATTCGCATCAAACATCTGGATCTTCATAACTGTTTTTTAGCCATGCATCTCCAAATCTATGCCAGTTGCCAGTTTGAATCGAACAATCAATGTAAACAAAGATTCTTCATCGTCGAATCATTTTTCACCATTCTCAAACTTGTTTTCAAAACGTAAGGTTCAGGACGAGTCGCGAATCAGATTCACGAAGAAGAACAGTGTTTTTCTTCCTTCTACACCATCGTCCACTTCAGTATGATTCATTAATTTCCGTATGATCACAAGAGATTAATCGTTTGTTTTCCATTGTGTTTTACCAATCTGTTTTTCATTATTTAGGAATTCAATAATATTAAGTGGCATTTTCAGAATGTTGTCGAGGGGACTTCACATGCTACTATTTTTCAGTCGAAAAACGATGGGGGCCATCGAAACACTGGGTATTTTTTCTATCTCATTTCGAATATTGGGTCAGTTTGATTTTCTACTATTTTTTGCTAACATGTGAGGTAATATAACAAATAAGATGTCTTCCTTCCTGTCCTTTGATGGAATTTTATTTATTTTATATTTTGAACGCAAATTCAAATACTGTATTAATTCCTTAATTACGAATCAGTTCGTTGCAGCTATTTCTGTAAGGACGAAGAGTTACTGAATGTGCCCTCTTCCGATTGTCAATTGGAGTCAACACAATTGTTACGAGACAACAATTGTATGAAATATCTAAATAGTGACAAAAATATTATCGAAATGTATGAGGTATGTTATTACATCTCTAAAATTTATTCTAAATTTCATTTGTTCATAGATCACTTACATGATATGGAGAATCAAATCTGGATTGGCCTTGGTTGAAATAGTATCACTACTTGATCTTTTCATCATGAAAAGCGCATTTTAAGCCATCATTTCTATTTGGCTGGCTATATTGGCTATCAAATTAAGACCCCTTTCCCAGGGAGTCTTCTGGAATAGAGTTAGTAATATAGTTATCTAAGTCCGCTGAATTTCCTTTTATTGACAGATTTATCTCCACTAAGAAATCGGGAGCAATCGATTCTATGACGGCAAGATTTTGGCCAAAGTACCATCGTCTATTTAACCATGCCATGCTCGATTAAAGACGTCAATCCCTAACTGTGATGCTTAAAAATAGCTGTCTTGAGAGAAAAGCCTTCATTTGCATATCTATACCAGTATGAGGAATGTCTAATTAGAAATACTTTACTTTTTGCGATTCCAGAAGCACCATCATTTCAATTAATATGGGGTAGCCTTATTAAGATGATTATATCAAAATAAACATCTTTATATATGTTTTATTGCAACTGATGATTTTGTTATACAGAAATGCATGAAATATGCGAAATGTTTGAATATTTGCCACGATCCCACTATGTTTTCGGATGAGCGAAATTGTAAATTTTGGCAGCAAACCGTTGATAATCGTCTAAAGGCCCTTGTTAATGGATTATCATACAGTATTTTTTAATCAGAATTTTTTGACTTATTTTTTCGATTTTGCCTGTATTGAAAATGACGAGCTAATCTTGAGTATTCAAGAAGCATTCATGAAGCAGTGAGAGAACCTTTCATATTGTTTATTATGCTTAATTATGTGGATTTTGAAGACTAAGTAAATGATTAATTCTACTTTTTTTTTCGAAATTCTTAAACTCTTTTCAAGAATTATTCTAAATTTAGAACATATTCATACATATTTTCAAGAAAAAAACGAATGTTTCTGGTCGAACTCGGATATGTGCCATCGGTCGAAATCTGTTGGAAAATTAGATGA